GAGTCGTACCGTCAGGACAGAGAGGCCGCCATTTTGGAGTTAATGCAGTTCTTCATCAGGAGCTCCGGATGTAAGGGAAAGATTACGCCACACATGAGGGAGAGCTTAGACAACGGACAGATCATCCGAGCGCTGGTCGAGGAGTTCGACGAAGAGGGCGCCGACTATCCACTGGTGATGACTGGCCCGCAGTGGAAGAAGTTTAAGAGCAACTTCTGCGAATTCATCCACACTTTGGTCCGTCAGTGCCAGTACTCCATCATCTACGACCAGTTCCTCATGGAAAGCATCATATCATTGCTCATCGGACTGTCCGACTCTCAGGTGCGCGCCTTCCGACACACGGCTACGTTGGCGGCCATGAAGTTGATGACGGCTTTAGTGGATGTGGCGCTCACTCTGAGCATCAATTTAGACAACACTCAGCGCCAGTATGAGGCCGAGCGCCAAAAGACACCCTCGAACTCGAAGAGACCGTCCGAGCGATTGGATCTTCTGATGAGTAAACGTCAAGAACTGGAGGAGAATAACGATGACATCAAAACAATGTTGGGATATCTGTTTAAATCGATTTTCGTGCACAGATATCGAGACACTTTGCCTGAGATCCGGTCCATCTGTATGACAGAGATCGGCATTTGGATGAAGCGATTGCCGGGAATATTTCTGGACGACTCGTACCTCAAGTACGTCGGATGGACTCTTCACGACAAAGTGGGAGACGTGAGACTCAAATGTCTTCACTCTCTTCTGCCACTCTATGAGAGCGAAGAGATAACTCGCAAAATGGAATTGTTTACCAATAAGTTTAAGGACAGAATCGTTGCCATGACTTTGGACAAGGAGTTCGAAGTGGCCGTACAGGGCGTCCGACTCATCATTAATGTCCACAAACATCACAGGGATATACTGACTGACAAAGACTGCGAACACGTCTACGAATTGGTTTACGCGACCCATCGGTCTGTGGCTCAGGCGGCCGGAGAGTTCCTCAACGAACGCCTCTTCCAAGTGGACGAGGAGTCGACGGCGAACCTCAGGAGCAGAAGAGGCAAAAAGCGGTCCCAACACTCGCCTCTCATCCGAGATCTCATTCAGTTCTACATTGAGAGCGAACTCCACGAACACGGAGCCTATCTCGTGGACAGTCTCATTGAGAGCCACCCTATGATGAAGGACTGGGAGTGTATGACAGATCTGCTGCTCGAAGAGCCCGGACCTGATGAGGAAGCGCTCGATGACCGACAGGAGACCTCACTCATCGAGATTATGGTCTGTTGTGTGAGACAGTCGGCCACTGCCGAGACGCCCATTGGTAGGGGCCCTCAAAAGAGACAACTGTCCTCTAAAGAGTCGAAACAAATACAAGACGACAAGAACCGCATATCCGAACACTTTATCCAGACTTTGCCGGCACTGATGGATAAGTATAAGACAGACGCCGAGAAAATAGCGAATCTGTTGACAATTCCCCAGTACTTCGAGTTGAGTTACTTCACGAACCAAACGGACCAATTGGACACTCTTTTGCGACTAATCTCTCAAACCGTTGAAATCCATTCGGATAAAGACGTGTTGGACTCAGCCGTCAAGACATATGAGTACTTAAACGACGATAACTTCTCTTATGCCAGAAATGTATGGCTTTCGAAGAGCACAGCAATCGATAGTCTTTGCAACAAATACAAGGAATCGGTGAACAATTTCAGCCAAAACCCAACCGGAGATGAAGAGAAAGTGTTGGTTATAATGCAACTCAAGAAGATTGCGGCCTTCTATTCATGCCATGACTTGACATCTTATGGTCTTTGGGACGATATGTTCGACCGTTGGATCAAAACTGCCAATTCAGACCCCGAAGAAGTGCCATACAATGCAGTCAAGTATGCGATCAGTGCCTGTCATATGGGACTCGTATGGGAATTGCATTTACTCTCGCAGTCGCGCGCACAGTCCGATCACAGCCAGACTGTGAGGACTAAACTCTTTGATTTCATGACAGAAATGCGTTCTTTACTTAACCATCAAAGCGATGAACTCGAGGAAGAGGTATATATTGTTCTTATTGTGTATATATGTTGCTCTCAATGATTGCATTTATAAGTTTGTCACCTCTTGTCAGGCATTTAACTCCATTTGTGATCTTCTCATCATATTTTGCAATCAATTGGAAAACGACTCACCGGTTGTCGCATCCCTTATCTATAAACCGGACGCTAATCTCATCCGAAAACTCGAGACTTTTATTCAACAAAAAGTGTTCGTCGAAGAAGACGAGGGTTTGCTTACTTTGTGACCAGTTTTGCAAATTAGTCTTAACTTTGTTTTGATGACTGATTCAGATGACACCGAAGACCCCAATAAAACGAACAGTGGTTTGGAAGCACTCCATAAGAAGCGTCACTTCTTGTCTGCATTTAGTAAACTAATCGTCTATAACATAATCCCTGGCCGTCACGCGGCCTGTGTTATCAAACATTACGTAAAAGTGAGTCATTTGTTGTAACATTTGCTTGAAAGCATGAATTTATTGGTTGATTGTCTTAGTTTTACGGCCAATACGGAGACATAATTAAGACAACGTTAGCCAAAGCTCGCGAAATAAATAAAGTGATTTGTGCGAAGACTATGGCCTCAGCTCTGGTCAATGTGTTCGTTGAGCTGCGATCGGAAGCGGCCACTAATCCCAACGCATTCACCAAACAGGACGACAACTTCCAGGCCCTCAAAGAGTTGGCCAAACGGTTTGCCCTTTCATTCGGTTTGGATAACATGAAGAATAGGGATGCCGTGGCAGCCATTCATAGAGAAGGCATTCATTTCACATTCAACACCATTGAAAACCCGGAGAACCCGTTAGGACCGCCGCCTAATCTTCCGTTTCTCGAGATTATCAGTGAATTCTCTAATAAACTCATAAAACCAGACAAAAAGACTGTGTATGAAACCAATGCATGCATTCATTCATTCATACAATTTTCCATTCATTAATGGTTCTCTAAATTGTTGTCATTATAGGCTCACATATCTGGACCGGTATGTGAAGAACGCATTGCCCGGTATTCATAACGACGAATGGCAGCCACTAATGAGCTATAGGGCCAGTCTTATACAACACAATGAGTTTGATTTGCCGGTCAATAGAGCGCCGGGAAGACAGTACAGGGCCAGGAAGAGGGGCCGGGAGGACGAAGGTTTGCATCCCATATGTTTCACCACACTTTGCACTACTAATGCGTATTTGTGTTGTTTATGTGTCTGTAGGGGAGGCAGAGGCCGAGGATCAGCAGGAAATGGAGTCCGATCACGAGGGCTCCGAAATGAATGAATAATCAAACCATACATTTGTTAATAGCAGTCACCAAATGGTCACATATTTTCACATTTTCTTACATTAATTATCTATTATTTATAACTTACGTGTCAATCATTTTCTTTTCATATTTGTATTTAAATCAACACTTCATTTAAATATAGTTTAGACTCAAAGCTCTACTCTTAAAAACGAAATTAATATGTAATACGGTATCAGTTATTATAATAAAAACAAATTTTGAAAATACAATAAAAATATTTTACATTTAATTTGCTTTTTAAAGAAAAATTGAAAGGAATGTCAGGTTTTTTGCATTCAATTACAGTATAAATAAACAGCAGTTATATTAAAAACAATTGAAAGTTTAATTAATAAAAACTAATTGAGTGTTAAAATTGGTTGTTTTGAATCGATTGGTAATAATAATAGAAAATATGAACCAATTTTAGCCAAATCTGATGGACTGGATGATCTGAAATATAGCCGACCCGCACACCACGAACACGAACAGGGCTAACATCCAGGGACCAACCGGGTACTTCTCGTCTGATGTCTTCTACAGGACAAACACAGTCATCACCACTACCACCATATGATATATGAATACAAACCGTGGTTTTGGGCACATTTCCTCTGTTGGCCACATTCTTGGAGGCCTTCTCGTTGGCCACTCTCATCCGCTGGGATCTCACCATCGCTGACGACTGATAGGACACGACTGACCACTGGATAGCAACCGACGTCTATATATGCCACGTGTAGTGGTGTGTAGTCTGTAGTGAAGTGTAGTGTGTGTTGTGGTCGTTGAGCCAAATGAGAGCAGATTTAGTAAAATGCAATCAATTGACTAAACACTCAATCATACAGTCGTTGCACAGATTACACGTCACACCACTTCACACACAATCTGTGCCGCAGTTCACCACAAATCACGTCCAATATATAGACCCCGAGACACAAACAGTGACTTCACTGCACTGCACACAGCATTTCAATCATTATTTCCAAATGCGTTCAAAACTGTGTTTCAATAGTTTGGCGCAAATGGTGACAAACTGTCACTAAATATGACTAACATTTAGTCGTCAGTGTCAACGGTATTGGTGAGCATTGGGTCAGTCATACAGTCAGTCATACAGTGATTAGACACTCATGAAGGCATTGAGTGAGTGATTCATATGAGACAACATTAGCCATACAATTGGCTGAACATTCAGTCATTGA